AGACATGGCCCTTAGCTGCAGCCTGGGTTCAGACATCTCATGGCACTCAGATCTCTATGGTCCCAGTTGCAGCATAACCCTCAAATCATCACCTGGTCTCAAGTGAAGGCTCAGAACTGGGGCATTTGCATGGCTTTTAGTGGTATCAGGAGCCACAGATATTAACCAAGACTCTAGATGCAGTGAGAACACAGTCTCACACATGACCCTGCACTGCAGCCCAGGCTTGGACATCACCATAGGCATGGTCTCCTCCCACCTTATATTCCTTTCTCTGCCCAGTCATTTCACTTCCTGCCTCAACCTCCCTAGTGCTGGGATTAAAGGCATGTGACTCCCAACAATTGGGATTGAACTTGTGAGCCATCACTGCCTGACTCTGTTTCTCTTTTAGACTGGATTAATCTCAGGTAGCCCAGGGTGGCTTTGAACTCACAGATATCCATATGCCTCAGTCTCCCGCTTGTTAGCATTAAATCTGTATGTACCAATCCCTGGCCTCTATGGCTGACTAGTAGCTTAGATCCCCTCTCTGATCTTCAGACAAGTTTTACTTGTTAGATCACAAATAAAATATCACCAAATTTCACCTTTTTAATCTAAAATTTAAAAAAAGGTTATAACTAATATAAGAAAAACTATATGCAATAATTGCAATAACTACATACAATATATACAGGCAATAATTATATCAATAATGCCTAATCCATTATGTTTTTGATATTGTTTTTTTTATCTGGGTCAGTTGGTGCTCAGATGGAGTCAGTATATCACAGCTGGAGTTAACAATATAATCCCCTATAAAACTCTATTAAATATTTCTTTATTAATAAAATGAAAAGCAAATGTACTTTGTGTCAGTCAGATTGGCAGACTTCAGGCCAACACAGGGAAACAGACTCACCCCACACACAGGTTACAGAAAAACCAGAAACACTAAGCCACATAGAGACTGATGACCCAGGAAGAGAAGTGTAGTTATTCAAATCTGAGTTAACTTTTGGACAAATTCCTCTAGAAGAAGCCTTTGATTCCTTCCCCTTTAAAAAATCACCTATCTTTTATTACCTCAACTTGTCCATAAGCACAGTAACCACTTTCACCCCATCCTCTCCCAATCCCTGCCACCGCTCCCCATTGCCCTCTCTCCCCTACAAATTTCATTCTTACGTTTATGTCCATTCGTTTTGTGTTCAACTCCCAGAGTTTAACCAGGACCATCTGTGTGAGTTTTGTATCAAACTACCCACTGGAATCCGGCAAACTCAGCAGTGTTTACACAACCGAAGAAAATGACCCTACCTCTTCCACAGTGAGTCAACAACCAATTGTTCAGCAGTAAGTAGTAAGGGACAGTGAGCTCCTCTCTTTCCATGCATGATTTTTGACAGAGTCAACCTTGTGCAGGCACAGTGTGGTTCACTTCAGTAACTACAAGTTTATAATTGTAATGGTTGCTCAGTTATCCCTGTATTTAATGTGACAGGTCAGAATATTGATGACTCTGAGTTTATCACTAATGTGTTTAACTGGGGTAGACTTCATGAGAAATTACCAGTAGTCAGAACATGTCTGGTAAAATACTGTTAGATTCTCCTCCCATTCTAGGCACATAATGAAAAAATGATAAAAGTTCAAGGTCAGGCACATGCTAACTTCTCTGAATTGGTCACAATCAATGTGTATATAACTCAAAACTTCATAGTCTTCCTCATATACATACCAACACACCTCAACATGATGAAGGCTATATATAAAACAAACCTATAGTCAAAATTGTACAGACACAGTGACCAAAGAATTGAATAGGTGGACAGGAAATAAGCTGATTCACATATAGCCACCTAAATTTTGATTAACATATCAAATGTACTTTGGAGGACAAAACAAACTATTTAACTAATGATGCTGTGGAAACAGATTTCCACATGTTGAAAAGTAAAACCAGATCCATGCCTCTCACCTTACACATGAATAAATTCAAAATGCATCCAATACCTTACCTTAATGTAAGATCTGAAACTGCTTGATAAAATATTTAGGGTTTCAAATACAGTGATGAGAAGAGGTAAAGAAGGCACATATTTACTCTTTCAAACCTGAGAGTTTGGGATGGCAATTTGTATTTTTTTCTAGCAGCTATGATGGTGCGGTATTGTTACTTTTTTCATTGTTGTTACAAAATAATGTGAAACAAATTAAGGAACTACAGTTCATGGCTAGGAATACAAAGTTCTGGTCATGTTGTATCCACAGTCTGGAAGGTGAGAGAGAACACAAAATTTGGCTG